CGAATCATTTTCTCCATTTCCGGGTCATGTGACTTTACGGTCGTGTAATATTCATGGAACGTTTCGGAACAAGATTTTTTTATGATGTTGAAAAATAAAACAATTCATGCAGCTTGGAAAAAAAAGTAAAACAACCACAGAAATATGTTTAAATTATTTTTAAAACAATCACAACAAAACATGCTGAATTAAAAAATGTAATTATGATTAAAAATAATACAATTAAATTCATTTATTTAAAAAAATGCATTTGAAGGGTTAACTCGATTTTATTTTTTAGAAAAAATATTTTCCAGTTAGAATACTTTTGATAATCAAGGTAAATACATGGTTGTTGATTGGTTTTGTACATAGAATTTTGACATGTTCATGCCACGAGACTGCGTGACCCGCAATTGGAGAAACTACTACAGTTTGATTTAATATTTATTACACTTTTATTTTAGCAGCGATCATTATGATTGATTTCTCAGTTAAAAATAAATGCATTTGCCATACTTTGGAGCTATCATTATTTATCTAGAACTTTTATATCAGCCTTTCTGCGGCGAACAAAAACGAAAGTAGCCCGTCACCGCAGCAGAAACATTCAAGTCTTTAATGCGTGCGTTTCTGAATTTCGATTGTCGGATGCTCTCTTCAAGTTTATATTCAATTTTTTTTTATTAATTACATACAGAAAGACCAGTTCTTCATGACCAGCGTATTCATTAAGTTTTTTGCGCTTAAGGTAAGTCACTCGTCAGCTTTTTAGAAAAGTTCACGCAGAAGCTTTTACTTCAAAACTACTTATTAAAATTCAATTTTTATAACATATTTAAATTCAACAATGTAAATTTTTTATCATTCAATGAAAAAAAATGCTCAAAAATCTACAAATAAGCAAGATTTATGAGGGACTATTGCTTTTCGTGGAAGGATATTTAGCAGAAAATTCTGCAAATCTGCACATTTATAAAATTTCTTCAAAACAAAAATTGTATAATGAATTAGGATGGCAAACACTTAGTGAAAGAAGAACTAAACATAAGCTTACACTTATGTACAAAATACTTAATGATTATACACCTGAATATTTGCAAGAAATGGTCAATCAATGCCTACCTGTTTCACATAATTACGCGTTACGCAATAATTCGTATCACTTACCAATCACTAGAACAGTTGCATACTACAATAGTTTTTTACCATCTACAATTAAATTATGGAATGATTTGCCAGATAGCTTAAAATCTGTAACAAGTGTAGCAAAGTTTAAACAGTGTATGCAAAATAAAAATCTTGAAGATAAAACAAAATCCAAATTATATAATTATGGACAAAGAAAATTAAATATACTCCACTGTCAGTTGAGAAACTTCTCTAGTAATCTTAATGCAGACTTGTTTAATCATAATTTAGTTGATTCACCTAAATGCTTAAAATGTGGATATTGTTTTGAAGACTCTGTTCATTTTTTCTTTCAATGTCCATGTTATGATTTTGCCAGGAACATTTTAATTACATACATGAGTGACCATGACATACCAAGAGATGTCAATATTGTATTATCAGGTTATGATTGTCTATCTCTTAGAGAAAATATGTTATTCTTTGACCAAGTTCATAATTTTATAAAAAACACTAAAAGATTTTAGTCTGAGCCTTAATTTCCATATTCTTTATTACTTAATTTTTTGTTTGTTTGTTTTTTCCATCATTTTTTTTTTCTTCTTTCTCACTTTTCTTAGTTTTTGTTATTGTTTTCTTTATGCATTTTTTCTCCTCAATTTTTCTTCAACTATGTATTCTTTATAATTCTCTTAATATTAATTTATAATACATGTTTTTTTTTTAACTTAAAATATGTACAGTAATTTAATTGTACCATGTGTACCTTGATCTCAAATGGAGAGAACTAATATAGGCCCTTGGCCTGCTGTTCAATCCATATTCATATTGTACTCTTTGTATATTATGAATAAAATACTTCTTAAACTAATTTATAAAATTTAATTTAATGGAAATTTAGCCTCACATACTTTTACTCGGAAAATATTTTCCGTTTTGATATTGCTAAAAATATTTAATATAAGTCTTAGTCTATATTTTTAGACTAAGTTTTACACCTTCCCTCAACAAACTTTTCCAAAAAATGAAAATATATTAAAGAAGTCAAGGTCAAATTTACACCATTTTTTGCCTGAAAATCACATATTTTGACAAATATTTCAAAATTAACATCACTGACCCCACCTTTTTCTTTCATTATTTTAAACTACTCAATACTTGTGACTGATCAGCACTCAAGTCGTAAAAAGTTTGATATAAGAAAAATTTTTATTGCCTATTAAGTTTTTTAATACCCCAAATATGTTATTTTTTAGTGCAAAAAGGTCACACAATAATTTACGCGCATAAATTTGCAAGATTTGTTTAATGATAAATATTATTCAAACTATTTTACGTAAAATAAGATTATATTTATTGCCATGCTTACATCTAATCAAATATAATAAGGGTTAAAGTAATTAACCAAGGATATGAAATTTAAGTGCAAAAAGGTCAACTTAAATGTACCGTAGATCAGTAGGATGCACACTGACCCCTATTTTCTTTGCGATTTTGAGTTACACTTTTATGAGTACTTATCCAAAATATACTTCTCAAAAAATCCTTGATATAACAAATTTCAGGAGTGACTTACCTTAAATTTTAACACTAGGCATAAAATACACGCGAGTGACCCGGAATTGGCGACTCCACTGTATTACATTAGGAGTTTGTTCGTATGTTTTGTACTCCCAAGGGACTCGATCAAAAAAAACTTCGCTAAGAAAACTCCTATTTCATTTGTATACTTAAGATATGGTGTTATTTTTATAATCTTTTTTCTTCTGTGGTCATTTCAAGTCTCTAAAGGTGTCATTACAACATCGAAATAAAACTGAACTGCATGTTCTCCGGTGCGCCGTAACGTCATCGTGTGCTGTGTTTACCACTTTCCCATTTCGAATGCTCGAGAAACTGCCAAAAATTAACCAAATGCCTTAAATTTTTTACAAAGACTACAAAATTGATTGTGGAATTGAATTAGGATAATTTCAATCCAAACATTGTGTATTTAAATTTTTGTTTTTGGATTCAAACTTGTGTATTCTTTAATAAAACCTTGGTTTTTTGGCCGTGCGCCGTAGGACAATACCCCGTGCACATTCAAGCTTTATAAAATCTTTATTTTTGCCTATATTTTATAAAAAAAATTAACATGCACTTAAATATGATAAAAATTTTCAGCTTAGTGCGCCCATTACTTTTCGAGAAAAACGCTTTATCCACGATTTTACGGGACAACCCTCGTATAATGTATAGTGCATCTGAATGATGGATATGATCTTGTTAGGGATATGCCATAATAGCTGAGGATCCTCCACAAAGCTGGACGATGTATATAAACATTCATGCCAAGAAAACCTTAGCATTCTCTCCGTATAGCAAACTCAATAAAAGCCGAATTAACATTAATCTGTGATTCTTCCCCTGGGAGACGTGCGGAAGCAATTAATGTCTGCAGTTTTGAGGGAGGGATCTTAAAATTTACTGGATTAAAATTATAGGTAGAATACTAGTTATTTAGAAGCCTTTCCCCCCCCCCCCTCCATTGTCTTTTTCGGGTAGGATGGGGGAATGAAATTAATTATAGTAAAGTAATTCTTCAATAAAATAAGCTGCCTTTCAATTTTTTTACGTAATACAATTTCAGAATATTTTTTCTCAGTACAAATAAATTGACATCGGGTAGTTGTGGAAGTACCGCGTCGAAATATAGATAAAAGAGTACCAAATTTCTGGAAGTTTACATCATTTCCTGGTTGAACAAGATGGAGACGAGTACTGAATGGGTAGACGTTACCCGATTGGCTATGTATATATTTTCATTTTAAAATGAATATTTTCTTTTGATTGTTTTTTCTTATTTTCTTTAGTCCAATTTTTTTTTAAAAATAAATTTTGGTACCAGTGCCTCTGGCATGTTACGTATTTTGTAAATAAAGATATTTGACAGTAACTTTTTAGGGTATTTGTACAACTTCCTGGGGTGGAAGTTTATTTTTTCTTTAACTAAGAAAGCTTAAAATCTAGGATCCACCCCCAGAAGTCTGCTGCCGTAAATTGTCTTGCTGGCGTTTTGGGAATATGGGTGATTCGCATCAATTACACTTTTATTGACTCCATCGCTGTCGAAATCGGACGAGATTTCATGGCATGTTATCAGTTTAAATTTTCTTTTCAATGCTACTGTAAGGCTATATGGTAGGCATTTTGATATTAAACAATCAATACGGTGTGTGGATATATAGAAACCTCTAAGAGTATATGCATGCAAGGATTAGATCACGATATGGCAATTTTTCAAGGGAATATATATTTATTTTTATTTATTTATTTTTGAAAAACAACACGTGTACATTATGCAAGCACTCTGGCCCACTACCTTCTTACTTGTCCCAAGGAAATCAAAGGGCATGGTGCATGTCTTAAGACTTGTATGTAAAACAGTTTTGTGGATCTTTTGATTGATTTTAAATTATCATATATATATAAATTTAATGTACATGTATTTTGAGTGTGTTCATATAAATTAATTTAATTCATTTACATGTTTCATGGATTATGTGCCATATAGCATGCACAGAACCTTATATTTATTCTTTGCTGGAAAATAAACATGTTTTGCACACATGAAGGTATATTTTTAAATCCATTGTATGATTTGGCTCAAGGCCAAAGTATTTAGATGTCCTGTCAAAAAAGGGCACGCAGAAGTTTATTTCATGTTTGGAATTAAAAAAAAGTAATTCGTGTATTCTGTAAGTTTTACATAATCATGAGTTTATCAAGTTTGCTACGATATATTGCTCAAAAATATAATTGAGCATATTGTTTTTGTTTTAGACTGAAACGAGTCTGAAAGAAAGCGAGCCAACTGTGTACGAGTTACTAAATAAACAAAATAGCGTGCAAGTAGGTCAAGGTCGTTGCTGACGTGAGGGAAGTGGAAAACTGATCTAGATTACTAAGGAATTCTTGTTTCGCGAAGAAAGAAGTAGAAAACTCTAAAGAACATCCAACATTGTGAAAAAAAAGTTCAAGGAATAATATTTTTCTGTATTTCAACGAGAAATCCATTGACTGTTGTTGTAGAAAATATTTTTCATGATGGAAATTTCCGATAGCGGTGGAGAAGTTAGAATGTATGACGACCCTAAGAAAATTGTCCCTCCTCAGAATCTGGATGAATTAATTAAAGAACTACATAAAGTGTTTGCCAGTGACAATGTTAATGTGGATTACGTGACTGAATTGATGGCATCGTACAAGAGTAATCCAAAAGACTGGAAGAAATTTGCAATTTTTGATTTGCATAGGTATAAAAATATGAAATAATCATGTAAACATGTTCAATGATTATGTTTTTTATTGTTATGGGTTGGACTCAATCGTATCAACTCGGGTCTTTCCATCAGGGGTCGGAAAAACAACCTCGAATGTATTGATATCACCGGATCGGGCGGATGTTAAAAATTTATACATTTTCTGTTTATTCAAATATAGGATAGACGGAGTTAGAAGCCCCTTCTATATAGTATATTTTAAGTAATATCATTACATTGAGTAGAGTTAAACTCCATATTCAACAGATAAAAGGTCTCCATGCATTTATTTCCAAGATCGTGAAAAGGGAGCGTTGGCATGGCGTCTGCCATATACATTCGAGGTTGTTTTTCTGCTAGTCAGAAAGCCCCGCAGAGTTGCTATTGGGTTTGGACCATAAGTATGGGTGATAGGGTGGTTAGAGCACTCAGACTAGTAATGCAGGGTTCTTGGGTTGATTTTAGGTGGTACATTTTCTCCTTCACGTTGCATAATTTAGAGCCCTTGATTACTTGCAAATAATAAGTCCCCCCCCTCCCCCCCCAAAAAAAAATTGATTGTGTCTTTGGAGCAAAAACAATTTTGGTCGAAGACTGTAATATGGTAATGGTTTCATTGGGCTGTGATTATTAGCCGGGGATATATATATGGGTAGCTCAGTGACTAATGATGCAAGGGTCTCAGGTTTGATTCCTGGTCCAGACATGCATTTTAACCTTTATTCCTTTATGGTTAAGGTTTGTAAAATTAAGTATCTTGGATTTTAATTAATCTTTATTTAAGGATGGGCCCTTGCCACAGTCAGAGTGACCTTGTTAGCCCTGAGTGTACATGTATAATATAATAAACAATTGGTTGTTGTGGAACATTTTATTTTCTTCAAAAGGCAGTTTGGAGAAAGAATTTTGGAAAAGGGGAGGGGAAGTATTTGGTGGTATTTCTCATTCTTGCAAATTACAGTAAATCTGGAAATTTCTGCTGTTGATAAATTTTTAGCAAATTTGCGTGTTCATTTGCTTTCACAAAAATATTTTTCTTAAAAATAAATTACCAATATGAAAAATTTGCAAAATAAAATTGACGTAAAAATTTCCAGATTTATGGTAATATGTACAGGACTTTGACAGATTGTTAAATTATAAATATGTAATGTGGGATTGATTAGACTATATTTCAGGTAATCAGAGATTAAAGTTTAGAGCTTTTGAAATTTTGATATTTACCCAACCTTTGCAAAGAGCAACACAGGGTCAAGAGAATCAATTGAGTCTTTTGTCATTGATTATTTGATTATGGGATGGGACTCACAGTACTGAGAATGAAAAAAAAGCATGTAACTAAATAATTGATTATAAGATTGTTTAATGTTTATTATAAAATAACATTTTAAACATCTTTAAAAAATTAAAGAATATTTTAAAAAATGTTGATAAAATACATACTAGATTGTATTTTCATTGAAGAAAAATTTATAGACAGCCAGCTGGAATTTAAATTGTATATGTGGCCCTCTCTGTTTTTCAACTTGATATTTTCGAATCAAAAAAAAAAAAAAAAAAAGGAGAGAGTGCTGCATTGTATCATTGAATATTTATTCTAATTTTATTCTAATATCATTGAATATTTATTCTAATTTTTTCTAATATTTATTCTTTTGTTCAGGTACACAAGGAATTTGGTGGATTCAGGAAATGGAAAATTTAACCTGATGGTTCTCTGTTGGAACACTTCCCAGGGTTCCTCTATCCACGATCACGCCAACGCTCACTGTTTTATGAAGGTATTGGACGGGAATGCTCAGGAGGAGCTATTTGATTGGCCGTCGGAGAGCGAGGATATGGTCAGCATGTCATCGAAAGGGAAAAATCTGTATAAAAGGGACGAGGTGGCATACATCAGTGGTGAGGATTTTGTTTGGTACCCCCTCTCACCCATCCCCCCCCCCGGATCCAATCCTCCCCCTCCCTGGATCCAACCCTGTGAGGCTATCACCCACACCCCTAACCCCCATAAAAAAAAACAAAAAAACACAGCTTTAAGATTTGTTTGAAATATATTCAGGAATATGCACACATGATTTAATGAATTTATTGAAAATCTGCTGAAATGTAAAACCCAATTTAATGGTTCATGTTCAAACCCCATCCCCCCTTCCATATCAGGTAACTTAAACAGGCAGACTATGAACCGTGATTGAAACATTATCTAAATCATATAACAATGGCAGAGATATTTCACAAAACCAAATATCAGGAATTAAAATTTCTTTCTTGGAAATATCACTTGAATGAATACAGTGTATTTTCTCAGAAAAGTCACAAAGTACAATGTAATTTAAATTCATGAATTAAAATTTCTTTCTTGGTAATTTCAAAATAAATGTTTTCTTTTAAAAGTCACCAAGTACAATGTAATTTGATTTTTTTTTTTTAAATGCAGATGACATAGGGCTCCATCGCGTAGAAAACCCGAGCCACTCTGACACGGCGGTCACGCTTCACTTATATTCTCCACCCTTCAGCGAGTGTCAGAGTTTTGACGAGAGGACGGGGAACGCCAACAAAGTACAGGTCACCTTCTGGAGTCAGTACGGAAAAAGGACGCCATGTGTACGTATTACATTTACATCTATATGTACTGTAAATTCCTAAATATATAGGTGAGGAATTAATTATTGCAAAATTTGGCGAGAAACAAAGCTCGCAAAATAAAATACTTGCATTTACCTTTTTGGTGCTGAAATCAGTCCAAAATATATTGATCTATCACCCCCTTTTAGCTGAGGCCTTTCCGTCCACTTGCTCTCCAGGGCAAGGCAGATCAAAAACCATGGACTCGATTTTCATTGATAATGAATAAATGCCATATTTGCCAACTATTCAGATTAATTAGATCAATAAAGCATTTAACTCTGTATTATCTGTTTTTGTATTTATTTACAGGCTAAATTACCAAGTTCCTGTGTGCCTGAGAACAATTAAACCTCCTCGCATTGAAGAACTCCAAAGGGGGAACAATCCATGTTCTGCTCCAAAATAATGTTGTGTGGTTTATTTAGAGCCATATTGTTTTCCTTTGTAAAAGGAATTGCGGTTTAATTAGCCCAGAAATTATTGCATTTATTCAAGGTTTGATAAAATTGCATAATGGTTC